TTTTTTTTTTTTCCCCCATGGGTTGTTTTTTTTTTTTTTTACACCTGAATATCTGGGGGTCAGAAAAAAACCCCATGCTGCTCCCTTGCAGTGTGGAGAACAACTGAATATGTGGTATGTGGCCATACCACACAGCCATGCTCATCTAGATATGGCCTCTGAGGGCATAGATAAATAGGCAGTGGGTAGATATAAGACAAGTTACTTTACGTTTAAGTTTGGGTGTTAAAAAGAGTGTTACATAAACTGTACAGCTGGAAAGAAGGGGAAGTTCCCTCTTGCTCTGCAGCTTGGCTCTTGGAGCACTCCTCTCAGGCTGTCAGGATTCCAGGGTTGGACACGTTACACGATGAAGATTCAAAACATGGGAGAGCAAACAATAATTCATGCAAGGAACTTAGGATGCTGTGAGATGCATCCCTGTAGCGTGAATTATTTTCTATTGCTTCAATTTCATAATTATCTGTTCCCAATCTAATAATTTTCAACAGTCAAAGTGAAGAGCCACTAAATTTGTGTAGAGCATTTAGGTACCTTCAAAACTCAAATGAGTGACACTTGAGATGTCTGCAACTCGCAACCAGCATACCACTTCTGTGAATAGTCCTTTTGCTTCCAGTGGGACTATACATGTGAGTTAGCCAATTCCTGTGGAGTAGTACTAAAGCCTTAAAGATCTGCAGAACTGAACGGAAGCCTTACTTTCTGGTGTAATAGGATCATATTAGCGGATGGATGCTGCTTATTGTTTACAAACATACAAACAAAGAGGAAGTGAAACTGCATTCCTGCCTCAGATGCTGTCATCTCTAGCATAGAAGTTTGTGTGGAAGGGAGGGGTATAGAATATAAATATATGAAGCTGAAATGAAAGGAAATAGACTGGAAAGCAAGAGGAGGTTTTCTGTGTGCCACAGAACCTAACGGTCAAATTTAGCTCTGGAAAAATCAAGTTACCATCTTGTAATCTAAGGGAAAATACAGGCTTGCAGGCTATCTGGTAAGTCAAATGCTTATTATACTGTATAAGAAGAGCAGGTGGATTTTGTTATACTTGGGAATTATGGACAGGCAAAACTTGAGTCCTGCATGGCCCATTTTGAGAGTCCCAGGTCTTTTTGTTGCTGAAAAGGAAATCTGCCTCTTGCACTCAGAAATCATTTTCATTCTCATGCTGACCAATGTTTGTAGGAGCAGGGGCAGAGAAGGGTCAGAAAGAAAACTTAAAATGTTCAAAAACTGACACATTTTTAAAAAAATGTTTTGATGAAGTGGAGAAAGTCCCATTTAAAACTGGATTGGATTAAACTGAGAATATGTGACTGGGTGAAGAAACAACAATTTCTCAGTGGCACAGAAAAGGGCAAGACAACCTCTTAAGTCTCTTCCACTTCCAATTTCCAAGACAGTATGAACTTTCAAGATATAAAATTAGACTCTAACGTGATCCTCTTCTTGAAATCTGTCAGTCAAATTGGGTCAAGAATTTAGCCTGCAAAGTATTTGCAAGTGCTTTCTGTTTCTTCCTGTCCAAAAGTGTGGCAAATCACTGCTGTTGTCACAGATGGCTTTGTCCATCACTGAGGGAAGTGTTCCTTCTGAAAGCAACTATCCCATGGAGGAACAGAGAGTTTGGCAGTTATATAAGGCTGTGAAAAATAATATATGCAAAACTTCATGTTGCAGTTGTATTTTGTATATGGGAAGGTAAGAGGGACCCCTCCAATATGTCAAGTAAAATAACGAGGTAGGAACTTCCTCTGAAAGGTGGGATTGGATCCATCTTCTAGGGTCCTGTGTCAGTGGTGTAATGAGTAGGGATTTTGGCCTGGGCAAACCCTGCAGGAGAATGGGAGTGGGGTGGGGAGTGCAGTGCTGAGAGCTGAGGATGGCGTGCAGGGGGAGAACTGAAGTCTTGCCCAAAACGGTCCCTGATGGTTGCTGCTGCATGTTCTGTCTGCCCCAGCTCTTGTTCTTAAAGCAGCAGTGGTTTGATGTTTATGCCCTGACTGCTGCTGCAAGAGCAACTCTGCGGGGCTGCTTCTGCTGCTGGGGGGCAATTTTGACACCCCTCCTCCTACGTCGGCACCTGAGGCTTGGTGCCCCTCTCACCCACCCCTAGTTATGTCATTGGCCTGTGTTTCCCAGCAGAAGAACTACTGAACAGCTTCTTAGAACTCAAACAACTGACACTGTAGTTATTCCTTCAGACTTACAGGAGGTGGAGTTCAGAAGGCCGAGGTGGAAGAAGAGGGCATGATGCTCCCATGATTGCGTATGATGCTATTTTAGGATGTGGAGGTGACTGGACAGAACTTTGCAACCGTGCCATGTTCCACGGTGGTGAGTGTTCCTTTATAACATCACATATTTGAATCCCTCAGGGTTTAAAGGGCAAAATTATCATTGCTGCAAGAAATGTGAAGTTTAAACGAGACATGTTTGTCTTGTTGGAAGAAACACCTCAGCAGGAAATCTGAGAAAATGAAACCTACGGTTGTGTATTATTACTACCATAGCAGCTTTACACCATTATTATCACTATTGTAATAGCACCTGTCATTCAAGGCTCTGAAAGTGCTGTGCAAATATTAAGCTTCACAGCCTACCTTTGACATGCATCAAGGATGTCTTGGTACGAGGTTTGCTTCATCCATCTCTAGGATAGCAATTATTCGACCACACAACGGGTCTGGGCAGGGAAAGAAAAAGTTTACTGTGTCCAGTAAAAACAGCAGGGAGGATTCAGGTAAGCTGAATTTACCTGAGTTGGGATTTGGCTAGGACAGGGTGGGTAAAATACGGCCCATGGGCTGCATCCAGCCTGCCAGGCAGTTTTATCCGGTTCTCAGGTACCCACCAATTAACTGTACCCTACCCAGCCCACACGCTTTGCTCCTGCCCTTCTGCATGGGTGGGCCCCAGCCCTGGCCAGCACACCCAGCTAGGATGTAAGTTTGGCATCCCTAGTCTTGTGAAAAATGCCACCTGCTTTTTAAGATGCTCGAATGGTTCATGTGTCTGGTTTGCAAAAGACAGCTCCTCCAGCAGCACTTTGCCCCCTAGTTCTGTGCACAGCTTTTAGGTCAGTATTGGCTCAAAGGAAAGCGGGGCCACCGTCTGAACCACCAGCTTCACTGAGACATCCATTGGATACTGGGCTTGTGATGCCATTGTAGCTCAAGCCCGGCTAGCTGGTGAGAGCTCACAAGATCTGACCCCAAGCTGTCATAGATAGTTTAAATGTTTGAGTGTGTGTATTTATTGCAATTACCTGTTCTAAATGGCTAACCATTCCCTGTGTTAGAGTAAGATACGTTCTGCATCCCAAAGATTTTGCACCATAACAGATGTTTCTGGAGTTGCTCTTCCTATCTAGTAATGAGGTAACAATGATAATGTGTTGCACATCAAGGGCTCTTTAAATTAAGGGAGATGTTTCTGAGCATAAGTTTTCTTCCTTAAAGGAAAAGAGCGATAAGTCAGTGCTTATTGTGTTGTGGTGACCCTGCTACCTCCCTCCCAGCGGCAATTAAGCTCAATCAGCTGTGCTGCTCACATGGGTGTTTGAGGAATTTTTCTGTATGGTTGCACGTTTATCTTTCCAAATGTTACCAAATATATTGCTTTAATTTAATTCAATTGCTTTTTTGTAATGAAAAAGACATTGCTCTTTACCTTTCAAAACCATTTTTTTTTAATTTAACTGGCTTGTTTGTAATGTAGGGGGCAGTAGCTTGATGCCCTGCCAAGAAACCCTTCAAATCTATGGGCTGCCATCTTAGCAATAGGAAAGCACGGTCGCTTGCTGCAATGAGTTTTATTCTCTTATCCATTTAGCAAATCGCTTTTTTTTTTTTTTTTTTTTTTTTTTGCCCCGCCACTCTGAAGCTAATGGCACACCCATTTCCTTGTTTGCAAATCAACACAATCCGCAATGTCAGCATGGTTGTTCACTGCTGCTGCACAGGCAGCAGAGGAAATGCAAGCACTAGGTTGTCTTTTGTTTTGTACTTTTTGGGGGGCGTTGTTTTGGTTTGGTTTTTTGCATGCTTCCTGTGCCAGGAGCATAAGAACAAGTTCTGCTTGATTGGTGCCTCCTCAAGGTTCCCTGTGTAAGGGGAATCCCTCCCTGGAAGAGCAAGGGGAGCTTCCCCATCTCTGTATTCTTCTTAACACAGAGCAGGGCAAGGAATCTCCCCTACCAAGTCTGCTTTGAATGGAATAGTGGGGCCACTTTGTGTGCTGGGACACATGAAACTCAGGGTTTACCTTCGCTTTGTAGCTCTGCAAGCATGTCTACACAGCACAAGGCACAGGAACATTTCCACTGACTTTGCTGTGTAAGCTATCCCACAAAAGGAAAATGGTGTAGCCACCTATGTTCAGGTGGTGCTGTGGTAAAGCTAATTGTCACTGCTGAGAGACAAGAGGCACATTAGCTACAGGGAAGAGCATAGTCTGCTGATGCAGGGCAGCTCTCTTCCTTTTCAGGTGCAATATATTATGCACTGGTGGCAGAGGAGAAGAGCAGGGATTCCAATTAAGACTGGTGAATGTCCTAAAGCTCCTACTCCAAGAGTATCACTGAGACACCACAAAACCTGCCAATGGAATAACGACTTAATGCTTCCCTCCAGAGTGGGTGCAGTTACGTTCCCCTTCAGCTGTGCTGCCTGTGAGCTCTTGGTGTAAGGTCTGGCTTGAGCCACTGTTCATCCCCCTCCTTTCCTCTGCTGCTGAATTCAGTGGGAAAGGATAGGGTAAGCAGCGACAGTGCTCCCCCCTGGACTCCAGAGCCATGCAAAAGCAGCCTCTGTCAGACCCCCACTCCAATCAGCCGGTGAACTCAGAGCTCTGGCAGAACTCTGTGAAACCAAGCAATGAGATCAGAGTTCGCTGTGCCCCAGCAGCACAGCCAAAACTGGGGGGCTGGGCTGCCTCTGCTGGGTTCCTGGATCTGCTGCTGCTTCCCTCCCTGAATAGTGCAGTTTAATACTCTGCAATTACAAATGGCTGTAACAGGATGATGCACTACTGTGTTTAATTTTACAGGTGAGAGTGCGGCCACTGGATCCATTGCTGGCTGCTTGTACGGATTACTTTATGGCCTGAACAAGGTTCCTAAAGGCTTGTACCAGGATCTTGAGCAAAGGGAGAGGCTAGAATACTTGGGAGAGACTCTTTACCGACTATCCACAGAGGAAAAGTAAAGCAGTTTCTACCATTTTCTCTTTCTTTAAAGACTATATCAAATACTGTAGATAAGTAACTAATTTCAATAACCCTGTGATAGGCTGAGGCTTACTTTTAAAAGGCGTGAGCTGAGTAGTTCAAGAGTAATTGAACTTGTAAACGTTCAGTTTGTCATGTGTGCTGGGGATTTTTGAGTATCAAACTAGCTACTTAAAATATAGTCCAGATCAGTAAAGCTTACGTTAAATGGAAAAAAATAAAGAAAGAAAACCTCCTTTTATCAAATTCAGTCTACCTTGCTATAAAGTCACTTTCTAAATGCTACAACTAGTAATTACACATGTAACTAATTTTCAAAAACTAATACTTGTCCACCAAAACTAATTGATTTACCCCTTACAGGGGATGTTCCCTGTATACTTTTAAATATTTGATAATTCTTGTTACCACTCTCTTCCCCCCTCTCCCACCACCCCTCCTCATCCTCCAGTCTAACAGTCTCTGATACTTGTAAATCTAATGTCTCTCAGATTCTTTTTATGAACTGTTAACCCTTTGTCAGCAGTATGCTGCAATGTATTATCATGTTAGAAACTTCCAAAAAGGAAAAACCAAGACTAGGAATACATTCAAGGTACAACAAAATGTCATTGTGTTTAACCTTTCTGAATTATGTGTTTTTACTCTAGATTCTTCAGGGGGAAAAAATCTAAAAAAAAATACAACTGGCTGAAATATTTGTAAATAAATTTAATCTTATGCTCTTCATAAGCATTGTTCTTTATTTTTAGATTGTACTTGTATGTTACTGTATCAGTATCAGAATTTTTGGCTGAGGTCTTCAAACAGTTGCATTATATCATAGCCTGATAGATGACCTGTTTCACACACAACTGAGAAATACAGAGAGACAGGAAAAGAAAACTGATACTTTTGTTTTTCTTAAATCACTATACAAAGATCAATTGGAGGAGAAAATGGTCAATTTGGCTACTACTTTATTAATGACAGGACAGTCTTTAAATGTCAACCTGACTAAGAGTAGCAGCTATAGCAGAGAGTGTATACACTGCCTATGGTTGCTTTCCCTGGATTTTAAAAACCTCACTATGTGACCTAGTTAAAAATTATCTGATTTGAATAAAATTAACAGCAGAACATGTTGAGTCAGTCTTATCTCCACTACGCTGGCATATATTTTGAGTAACTCCTAATAATGGAATTATACTTTTGTTAATTTTGGAGTAACTGAACATCTACACAAGGCGCTAACTGCGCAGTAGCTGAATAATACCGTGTGGTAGCATGTCGCAGCACAAACAGTGCTAATACACTACTGCACAGGATTATTAGACTAGTGTGCAGTAGCATCCCTAGTAGGCATTTGCAGGTGCTACTGCACAGTAACTCCAGTTACTGTACATTTATAAAAGTACTGAATTAATGCACAGTAACCACGTGCATTTAAACACAGCCACTGACAACAGAGCTTGGCCCAGTATGTTTAACCTCCATGTTTAAGCATAGAAGTTCTCAAACTGCTCTGCAGGGAACTTACTAATGGTCCACAGAATGCTGACAGGTTATATGCTGTTGGTTTCTCCTTCTCCAGTTGCTGATTACATTAAAAATAAAGCTAAAAATACATAAGTACTTTCCCATTACTTTTCCATGTAAGCAATTGCTGTACTGTCCATAGGGATATTATGTGATAGAAAGGGGGAGTAGGTTTTCCATGTCACTGCATTATAGGAGAGATGGTCTGCATGACATCTCTGTATTAAAAAATTGTTCTTGTAATGAGTAGCTTTTAAGTAGCTCTGTTTTTAGCATGTTCTTTCTTTGCATCATTGCTGGGTGCTTGCTTTTTCATTTTGGAAAGCATGTGTTAAACAAAGCAGGATATTTCTCTTTGTAGCTTTTGATTTTATATAGGAGAACATCAGGACTTGCTGAAAACATTCTTTCTAGTTTATGATGCCTTTAGCATTCCCTATAATAAAATCAGCAATAAAGAAGAGAGAAGAGCATGTCCTGCATAAGGTAGGATTTTCTCTTGTTTGTGTAACTTTTTCCTTTTTTCCACAGGAAGACAAATCTCCAAAGGAAAAAATATTGTTTCTGTGTTTTAAAAGTTTTATAACAATTCTCAGTGTTGTTCTCCTAGAATTTATCAAAGCTTTTCCCACTTCAACATTCCATATGGATAAGGACCAAACTTAATTTCATAGTTTCATAGTTTCGAGGTTCGGAAGGGACCTGAGCAGATCATCTAGTCCGACCCCCTGCCATGGCAGGAAGAGCACTGGGGTCAAACGACCCCAGTAAGGTGGTCATCCAACCTCCTCTTAAAAACCCCCAGGGTGGGAGCCTGCACCACCTCACTTGGAAGCTGGTTCCAGACCCTAGCCGCCCTGACCGTGAAGTAGCGCCTCCTGATGTCCAACTTAAACCTTCCCTCCGCCAGCTTGTGACCATTTCATACACTTAATGGTGCAATAGTGATTGTTGGGAGAGAACATCAGATCCCAGTCGTGCTACTGCCAGCAGTAAGCCCGAGGCATGGTGGGCAAGTGCTGGATGGTGAGAAACAATCAACTCTACCTACCTGGCAGCAAACCCAAAGGCTCCCTGGCAGGACTCTAACCCTAACCCCACAGCCCTTGAGTCCTGGTAGATAACTAAAACCTATGTGTATAGCTGGGTTGCACACAGTTTTTAAAGGTCCTGACATACTAGGACCAAAGGGTGAGGCTCCCTGATCCCAGGATCCCCATGTAACTGGACCTATAAAACCTATATATGCAACTGGGTTCCACAGATGTTGTTTCTCACATCCCCAGTGCACAGGGATCCTAGGATCAGGGAGTCTCCCTGATCCTGGGGTCTCTCTGATCAGGATGAATAAGTGCCTTGCCTTTAAAGTGTAAGGCATTTTAAAGTGCCTGGCCCTGTACCCCCTGCTAGCTGTACAGTTGGGGATCTAATGGTATAAAAGCATTTCATGCAGATAGCTATGAATTATGTAAATAGTCACAAAGCACTATTTCCATAATTGAAAGGGAAAACTGTCAATTTTATCAGCACTTCATTAATGAAGGGACAATCTTTAAATGTCAACCGGAATAAGAGTAACAGCTGAAGAAGAGAGAGCTTATGCTTGCTTTCCTTCATTTCAGGCAATTCTTTGAATCAAATCACATGAAAAGGCAGCTAGCCCCAACATATCATGTTTGTCCCACCTTAGCATGGACATCTGATTTAGACCACGTAAGAGCTGTGATAGGTCAGCTCCTTGAAATGTCTGTCTAGTGTGGTTAGAATAACCTTCCTCTCCCAGTAACTAAACACCAACCATCTTCTCTGGCCAGCTTTGAACTGTCATTTGCATTGAACCAGTCTGCAAGGAACATTTGTTAAGAATTTCTTACAACTTGTTAATGATAAGAAAATACATTAAAACAAAAGTTGCCTCACTGAGTATTTGTGATTGTTTAACACGGTCCAGACACACAACAGGCTACTATGAATAGGAAGCAAATATTCTAATTTACCCAAACGTGAATAACCAATTGCAGCAACAAACTACAGGTGTCAAGCATATGTGTGCAAGTGGACAAAGTGTCCTAGCAGTGGTAAGTGGTCCTGAGAAGCAGTTGGTTCCTCGTGTCCTCTCTTCCCCCACCTAGTTAAATAAGCAGCCTTCAACCACTCAGTTAATACCGAGGGAACCAATTAGTGTAAAACAGCCTGTCATGAATGGCTGGCCATCAAGATGACCTTATGGCCTTCACTTGGTGAGTTTAACAAGAACATTGTGATTGCTCACAATGTGCAGATGCAAAGAGGGGAACAGGGCAACAGGAAATACTGTTTGCCAGATAAAAGATCTTCTTAGTCTGCCTCACACAGCCATACACAGACTTTTAAGAGCTGGACTGGACCCTTCAAGAAAATAACCACTTCTGCTCCAGTGTTCTTGCCATGCTGCTGCCACCATTGTTCTGCACCTCACCTCCAGCTAGTTCTGTGTGCCCCTAGGAAGTGCTCTCCAGTCTAGTGTTTTAAAAGGAAATTCCACTTGTTCTGGGCCATAAATTTTATAAAAAGCTTTAGACTAGAGGTGCACCAATACATTGGTCCATATTTTACTAGCACGAATAAAAGAAAAATTGACATTATTGGCAATCAGCTTTTTTTTTGACTGACATGGCTGATAATGTTGTCGATAAATGCCGTGTACATGTGTGCAGATGCAGCCTGCATGGGGCCAGGAATGCAACCTGGCAGCTTGGAGAACAGCATTGGGCTGGTAAGTCTGGAGGGTGTGGGGGGAAGGGGCATGGTGGGGGGGCATATTGAGGGCCCCATGGTGAGGGAGTGAGAAGAGTAGGGGCAGAGGCAGGCGCTGCCCAGCTCGGGGGGGGCAGGGTATGGGATGGAGCCAGTGGCTGATTCCAGGGGGCAGGGAGGGAGGGGCAGCTCTTGCAGCTGTGTGTACCCTCAGGGGAGGCATGGGGGTCATGTGCCCCCGGATCAGGGCATGGGGCAAGGGTAGACTGCTGCTGCTGCATACTCAGGGCTGGGGTTGCACCAGGCTCCTCCCCAGTGGGTGCTCTCAGGCTCGGCTTGGTGGGGCAGGTGGTGGCACTGGAAGGGGGAGCTATAGGGGGACTAAAGCCGGCCAAAAATTTGCTGGAGCCCCCCCTCCCAGCACTGCTGTCACCCACCCTGCCCCACCCGGCCCAAGCGCAGCTGCTGGGAAGAGGCTGGATCAGCCCCAGCTCCAAGCCCACAATGGGCAGCCTGCCCTCACCTTGCGCACAAATCCAAGGTGACACGTGCTCCCCATGCCTCTCCCAGGGTTGTGTGCAGCAGCAGGAGCTTCTCCCCACTCCCC